TTTTTTTTTACAGTGAACACATGTGCTTAGATTCTGTATTCATCTGGGCCCTTCTGCCAGTCCTGAACCAGTGCCAGAGGCAGTGTTGCCTTGGTGTGCGTCTTGCCAAAAGATGATGAGAAGAAGTAGTGACAAAGCCTCCCTGGAAGCTGCCTAGTGGCCTTGTGAAGTTGCTCTGGCCTCCCTCTGCTCTCAGTCCCCTTGAACTTGAGTCCCTCTGTTCCCAGCCTAGACTCACCTGCTAGGAAGCAGGGCACATTGGCAGTGGTGTTGATGAATTTGCAGGGGCTCCTCTTCATGTTGTCAAAGGGCGGGTAGGCCAGCCCATGGTCCCAGGCCTCCTGGTTGACAGCCATGAGGCCCAGGGGGCTGCTGAGGTTGCGGAGGCGGCTAGCGAGGCTGGGCTCGGGACTATACACCAAACTGGCATCCAGGAAGGAGTTCAGAGCGTTGATCTGCTCTCGGGCCAGGGACTGGTAAGGTGGAGTAGGGCAGACAAACCCAGCTCGGAAAAAAGGCATGCATTTCCCTTGAGTCTCCGCCTTGGGGTCATTGGGTGGGATCTGCAGAGAGATTGGGGGTGGGTGACTGGGCAGAGGTGGTACAGCTGGGCCCTGGCAACCTCTCTCCTGGTTGGGTCTGAATAAAGCTGGCAAAGATGCACATGGTGCCCTCCTGAGACTCTGGGACCAGACATTGACTCCAAACACCTCCTGCTGATGCTACACATCTGGGCCCACAATACCCCGAAGTTCGTTATATCCCACTGTGTAAAGGGGTTGAGGGGAATCATTCAATCTTTCAGAGATAGGACTCCAAATTTTTGGTGGGGAGAGAGTCCTGAGACCCCTGGACAGGGAAGCCAGGCAAGAGGTAGGAAAGGAAGGGTTTGTAAATAATTACTGCCAACAACAGCTACCATGTATTTATTTTGGCCCTGCCATGTGCCAGGCATTATGCATACTTGATCTCCTTTGGTTCTCATAAAACCCTGTAAGGTGGCCAACTCTGTCCCATTTTACAGGTAAGAAAACTGAGGCTTAGAAAGGTTAAGTAACTTGCCCAAGAACTAATCAACTGGAAGGGGGTGTTATGTGAACTTCAAATCCTCACTTCACAGCTTATGTCCTTTATACCACAGCACATAGCCTTGATTTGTTGTTTGAGTGAATAAATCACTCTCTAACCATAAAATTCACAAATAAGAAGAACAGGTGCACTGCTGAAAGTGCCTTTCCTTTCCTGCTGGAAATTCCCACAATTTCTGATTCATCTCTGAAGTTCCAGCTCTCTCTGGGGGTAGCCCTCCCGGACCCCAGGACGACTTACAGCAGCATTCCACAAACTGGGTATAAAATTACTCTCCTGGGGATCCTAGTAAAGTGTAGATCCTGTCTCCCAGTGTCTGGGATGCGGCTTGAGATTTTATATTTCTCATAAGTCCCCGTGTGATACCAATGCTGCTGGCCAGGGACATAGACAACCCTCCCCAGAGCTTCCCAACTTTGCCATTAGTGGTTACTTATCCATTGCCCACACAGGCCCTCTGTCCCTGAGAGAAGGAACAGTGTGTTTATTCACCATGGAATCCCCAGCACATAGTGCACTGCCTGGCACGGAGATGATGATCAATGTCTACTTACTGAATCAATGGATGAATAGTGAATGAATGGACATGTGAGGTTTGGGAAGCCGTCACATCAACATTCAAGATCTAGCAAGGAACCCTGGCTGATGGGCCGGGAATGTCTGCCCCAGCAGGGAGGCAAGGGGCTTGTCAGGGACAAGCTGCAGAGCCTACCATGATGGGGAAGCAGTTGCCTCCCTGGAGACAGTACTTGTCACACTGCACTTTGGAGTACTCGCTGCTCCCCATCTCAGTGTCGGGGGCAAAGTCCAGGTCGTGGTCCACAATTTGACCCCACTGCATGAAGAGCAGGGACCTGTTTTGGTCCAGAACACCGTCCTCCTTCAGGTAGCCTGCAATCTGGTTGGATACCTCACGGGCCTACGGAAGGAGAGAGAAAAGGAGGGAGGTTGGAGGAAAAAGTCCTTTGGGGATTCAGATTGCAATTTATTGAGTACCTGGGATGTAACAGGTACATTTAATCCCATGACAAGCTTGTGAGGTGGGTGGCATGACTCCCGTTTTGTAGATGACGAGACTGAATCCTAGAGAGGTGAGGTCAATTCTCCAAGGTCAGCTACAAAGGGGCAGGGATGGGAGTAAACGCAGGTCTGTATGACTTGATGGCTTTCAAGGCCGGTGCCCTTTCCACTGTGGAGAGGGGAAAAGAAAGACAGGCTGCCTTTGAAGTGCCGTGAAGGTGCCAGGTGTCTGGGAGGAGGAGAGGGGCTCAGGGGAGGGGCTGCCAACTCAGATGAGGCCAACAGATAGGCCCTCCCGGCAAACGACAGCTGATGCGCTCCAGGGGCTGGGGCAGGGTAAGCTCGAACAGGATGGGGCAGGGAGGCCATCTGCCTGGGAGACCCCAGGGTATCTGGCCTGTGGGCAGCTGGGACATGACCGCCACGTGGCTGGCCTTCCGGCTCCGCGCTCTGCTGCCCTCTCGTGGCATTTTGGGGAACATCTCCAGGCAGCAAGTCCAAATGTCCATCTCACTCCTGATGTGGCTCCACGGCACATTCCTGTTTCTTCTTCCTTTGTGTGTGTAGTGCGGTAGTGCATCCCCTCCCCGCTGACTCCCATCCTTCACCCTCCTGCTCCGGGCTCGCCCTCACCAGCGGGATCGGGAAGCAATTCCGCTTCTTCCCCGGCGTCCACCCGAAGGGCAGGGAGAGCCCGTCCTCGTACTCAGCCGGCAACCAGCGCGCCAGCGCCCTGTTGGCGGCGCCCAGCGAGGGGTTTCTCCTGAAACCGAGTAGGACCCGCCCTCAGCCTCGGCTAGTCCACTCCCGGGTTTGCTTCTCTGCAAACCCCAGGGGGATCCCATGAGGAAGGACTGGGAGCCTCTGCCAGAGGGAAAGGGGGAGCGGAGGAGGGACCTCTCAAATGTGGGGTTTCTAAACTACCCCACCACCAACACCACCACCGCCACCAAGGCGCGGGGCTCCTTTGCCCTGGGGAAATGTGCTGCTTCCAGTGGGATCCAGTGGTCTCTTTAAAAGATGGGGGAGTTACAGAAGGGTTCTAACAGTACAGATTCCAGTGGAATGCCAAGTTTAGGAGGGTAAGGCAGTGAGAGTTCTGCCTGGAATGCCCAAGTTGCAAAGCCTCTGGCTGAGCTGGGTTGGATAGGTGGGCAGGGCAGGTGGGCTGCACAGGTGGGCAGGGTAAGGCAGGTAGACTGGGCAGGTCAGGTGGACTGGGCTGGGTGGTGGGCTGGACATGGTGGTTGGAAGGGAAAGGCCTGCCCCCCCCCTCCCCCCAGCAACCCAAGCCCACTCACCTATTATTACATTCTCCTGTAATGGTGCGGTAAGGACTGTCGTTGTCACATGTCACCCCAGGCACTGGGACCTCGCAGCCCACCTCCCAAGAAAGTGCAGTCAAGTCCAGACTGGGGTCTGAAACAGAAGGGGCTGAGTTCTTTCTACATTCTGAGGCACTGGGGGAGGCAGAAAACTGAAACCAGGGGTGACTTTACATTTTTTGGAATACATTCTATGTTCTAAATAAGCATTCCTGAGGTGGTTTCACATTTAACGGTGACAACTCATTAGGGTGAGAATTTTAATTACCATTTTACAGAGAAGAAACTGAGACCATAGTGCTCAAGAGACTTGCCCAAGGCCACATACACAGATAGTAACTGTGAAAGTCCCCATAATTGTTAATAAATCTTTGTCTATCAGGTAATTTGAATTAATAGATCTTTCTTTTAGAATAAGAATACCCCTGAGAGGTTAAGCACATATTAACATGAGTTAATCTGATAAGACTGCTTTTCTTCTAAAGCTTCATTGACATCCAAGCAAACAGGAACCTAGATAGGAAGGATTTTGGGGAGGGACAGGTAATTTTTTTCTTTAAGATTTTATTGGGGAATTGGGGAAGAACCCATCAGCTCCAAGTCAAGTTGCCCTTCAATCTTAGTTATAGAGGGCGCAGCTCAGCTCCAAGTCCAGTTGCCACTTTCAATCTAGTTATGGGTGGGTGCAGCCCACCATCCCATGCAGGAGTTGAACTGGCAACCTTGTTGTTAGAAGCACGTGCTCTCACCAGCTGAGCCACCCAGCTGCCTGGCGGCAGCTCAGCGGCAGCTCAGCTCGGGCGCAGCTCACTGGCCCATGTGGGAATCGAACCGGTGACCCTATTGCTCAGAGCTTGTGCTCTAACCAACTGTGCCACCCGGCTGGCCCCGGACAGATAATTTTTAAGTGAGGAGCACAGTGGCCTTGGGAGGAGTAACATAGTGGAAAGGGGCGGGGGTTTAGGCAGCATAAGCTTCCATGTAGGCACAGAATGGAGAGAGTTGCTGACCACGTGATGCAGCCTGTGATCCATCCTGGTGCCTGCAGTGAAAGATAGTCAAGGGAACCTGGTCCTATGGGGCTTCCTCGGGAGGATCATCTGCCAAAGTCGTCAGGGACCGGGGTTCATCGATCCCCAGCACCTTTGAGTCTCTGAGTCCAAAGTGCTCCCTATTTTTCTACCTTGTCACAGTTTCTTTCTTTTGGAACTTTGGAATTTGCCCAAGTCCTAGGCCAGATATCTTCCCCCACTGGTGTTTTCCCAGGGATAACTTGCAACCTCTTGTTCCGGTCAGGACCAAACCACTTCCTCCATGACACTGTAAGCTCTGATATTTGGTAGGAGGTAGGGGTGGAGGGGTTGGAGGAGGTTCTGATCAATCATCAGCTCATTGTTTCAGCTCCATGTTACCCGGAACAAGATGGAAATCTCATCTCTTGTGATATAATCCCAGTAAATTCCCCAGATACCAGTGGCTTAAATATCCTCTTCACAGGCGGAAGTGGTGACACTGTGGTTTGGAACAGAGAGCCCATTAGTACTTCCTCAGGATAGAGGCCTTATAGATGGTATTATACCAAAAGCATGAATGTCCCCTCATGTGTAGTTGGCAACACGACCTTGCTGGGCTTGAGTTCCTTTCTCTGAAACAAAGAACATTGGCCTAGCTGTCCTCTCAGCATCTCCTTGGAAGGTCTGTAATTCTAAGAAGGGAGAGACAGGGGTGCTTTTCCGAGGAGATGGCTCCTCATAGGGAACAAAGGTTTCAGTGCCTTCTGCTCTGTCCTGCAAGGAGATGACCCCTTCCTGCTATCAGAGGGCTAGTGGATTTTCTGTACCTGTGACGTTAGTCAAGGTCGCTTTCTGCCTCAGTCTCTTTAAGGACTCCTCCCACACCTGGCCGTTGCGGATGGCGGTGCGAGCCCGGCCCTTGGCATGCTTGAGGTACTCTGAGAGCTGTCGGGTGGTGGGCGCCTTAGAGCTCATGGCGGTCTTCATCCTACAATGAAGAGCAAAGGGAGAGTCATGACCTGGCCCCTCAGGTGTGAGGTGGTGTGTGTATAGTGGGGAGCTGTGTTTGGGGGTGGGGGGGACAGCATGCAGGAGACAAGCACTTCTTGTGCTCTCAGGATCTTTTCTCAGTTCTCTTCTGATGCCTCTGGAAAATCTCTTCTGGGAGGAGGAAGCTGCCGTGTGTCTTTAAGCTTTGTTAAGCCTGGTTCTGAGGGAAGGCCAGCAGCTGGATGTGAGTGCTGCCTGAATGAGAATCAGAGAGTTGCAGTGGTGCTGGTGGTGTCAGAATTGATTGGGGGACCTTAAAAAACACCCAGGTCCCAGGACATACTGATTCAGACTGAGGAACTCCTGACATGTAGCTGGCACCTCCTAGAGCCTTGTGGACCGAGAATTCTAGAAATAGCATGCACATGGGTCTTCAGTTCTGCCCATGAAAACATCCTTAATTGTCTCTGGCCCTAGCGTTAGTGCGGAGTCTGTTTAGATGTGGGCTGTAGTATCCAGCCTCTAGTTGACCATTTCTGGGGTCAGATGTTCAGTCTTTTTATAAGTTCCCATGTATAAAGTAAGAAGCCAAAAACACTTTTATTAAGTTTGTGACAACACAGAGATGACACGAGGCACGGTGGTGTCAGAAAAGTCCCTCCGTGTCCCCTTCCCTGTGCCTCAGTTTCCTCATGTGTGAGATGAGTGAGTTCTCTGAGATGATCTCTATGGCTCTAAGACTCTGAAACTTTGGAAATGGCTCAAATTCTCACAAAAGCCAATCCTGCTCTTGGAGTACAATTCACTGGTTCTAACACCTGGCCTGTCATAATAGATCTGTTATTTACTCTATTTTAAATGTGAGGGAGCATGGTGTCTCAGTCTGAGGGTCTACATGGGCGAGTGGGGCAGGCATAAGGACTGTGATGACTGGGCACTAATCCCCATCCTACCTATTTCCAGCCTGCTCCAACCTCGATAAAAAGGAATCCAAGAAAATAAGCCAGAATGCCTTTTTGCTACTATTGCAAGTCATCATGGCCCAGTGGCCCAGACGGCTGTACTGCCCAATATGGTAACTTCTAGCCACATGTGGCTATTTAAGTGGAAATTCATTACAATTAAATAAAATTAAGACTTCAGTGATACTAAGCCACCTTTCAAGTGCCCAGTAGCCACATGTAGTTAGTGGCTCCTGTATTGGACAGCACAGGCATAGAACATTTTACCCTCGCAGAAAGTTCTGTTGGCCAGCACTGGCCTAGACTTTGGGCCTAGAGACAAAGTCTGAAGCCTGGTTCTACCAGGATCTGTTTACTGATATGACCTCCAAATGACCTCAATGAACCTGGAATCAGAGCATTAGTGACATCAGGGCCTGCATGTGGCCTTTGGAACATACAGGTTGGGTTTGGTTCCTGACTGCCATTTTCTAATTGTGTGTCTGTGGGCAAGTTACTCAATCTTTCTGTCCCCAGTTTCCTTATCTGAAAAATGAGGACAATGAGTATAACTTAGGCTGACCTATGCTATTTGCTCATTTTGACCTTGACTATATTTCATATAGTTTGATTTAGTACTTCCCAGGATTTTGAGGAGGAAGGAAATATAAGCACCTAGAGCTGTGTCTGGCACAGAATAAACACTTATGTGTATTAGTATCAATGCCATCATTGTCATCAGCCAGGCCTCAAAGGGTGCCTGACCCCATGAACAAAGAACAGTTTGCTGGGCTTGCTGGAGCTCCATCTGAAAGGTCCCTAGCAACATTCTATGTGCTTCCTCCTTCCTCCGTCTGCTCTGCGTGTTCTCCGGCCTGCACACTGACCCACCAGGGAGTTATTCCTGCTTTGCTTCGGGGCTGGGCTCTGTGGGAGCAGGCAGGGCTTTGGAGGAGCTTTTTCTCCATCTCCACAGCGTCTACTCTCATCCTAGCCACCATCCCCTTCCATCTGCAGGGCCACAACAGCCTCCTAACTGGGCTCCTGACTCCGTTCCTGTCCCTTTCCCATCCATTCTCCACACGGCTGCTGGAGTGAGCTCTTTAGAATGAAATTCAGATCACACTATCCTCTGATTAAAGCACTTCATTGGCTTACTGGGATGTGGATTAATCCATCTGTTTACTGCATGCCTGCTCATTATGTGGTACAAGCATTGCCTCTATCTAGTTCCGAAACATCTTCATCGCCCTCAGAGGGGACGCCATACCCATTCAGCAGTCACTCCCAATTCCTCCCCAACCCCCTGCCAGTCCCTGGCAACCACGAATCTGCTTTTTTACTCTGTGGTCCTTGGGGTCCACCCCTCTGTCCTCACCTGTGTGTCTCCTCCTTGCCTACTACCTCCACCAGCGTCAGCCTTTGTCCTGTTTCCTAAGTACCCTGGGCTCTTTCCTGCCCCATGACCTTTGCCTTTGCTGGTCTCAGTCCCTGGAATGCCATCCCTCTGTCTCTGTACAGGGCTGGCTTCTTCTCATCCTCCGTCAGCCTTCCCTGACCCCTGTACCTGGAGTAGCAAACCATTGCTCTGTTTATCCTTTCATTGTCCTTATCACTGATCCTGAGCTACCAGCTTGTTTGATTGTGTGCTTGTATAACAAACTTGTTTCAATGTAATTCATTCTGTACCCACGAGGTCCCCAAGTTCAAGAACTAACCAATGGAGACAAGTTCCAAAGCAGGGCTGGTCGTCCTGTGCATGACTTGCAAAGGAGGTGATGAACACCAATTTTGTTTCTTTTATTCTATCCCCAGCTTGGGGCTATAAAAGGACTGAAGTTAAGGCGAGAGAGAGAATTTTCATTTGGAGATAGTTGCCGAAATACCATGGGTTTCCCTCCCACCACCTTCCTCTTTGCTTTAATTCTATTAACAAAGGCCTTAAGAGGAGGGCTCCACTGTGTGTCCTGGAGCTGTGGCTGGTGGTTGATACCCACCCAAAGGGTCGAAAGCAGCGGTTCTCAACCTTCCACAGGGGTCGCCTAAGACCATCGAAAAACACATATTTTCGATGGTCTTAGGAACCGAGACACCGCTCCTCTATCCGTGTCCAGGCCCACATGCAGATACGCCCACATCCGAGTACCCGGTGACCCCTGTGAAAGGGCCGTTCGACCCCCAAAGGGGTCGCGACCCACAGGTTGAGGACCACTGGTCTAAAGGAAAGAAGTGGTGGCTAGCGCTGTGCACAGGACAGCACTGGGCCCCTAATCTGCACATCCTCCAGAAGCAGCGCAAAGCTATCAATTGTCTGGAGCCTGCTTAAAGGGGCCTGGCTCAAGAGGGCGTGGGGAAACGCAAGAGAGCAAGCCGGAAGCTTCCAGGCTGAAGGTTAGAGCTGTAAGCTGCTAGACGGAAACTCTGGGTCAGGCCGTTGGCAGTAGAATCTCTGAGAGATCCGAAAAGGGCCCAAGGAGGGGAAGAGCTTCTGCCCTACGTGAGGCTCTAAGTTGTCCAGGAGACTTAGACCTTGCCATCCCTTCACTCTCCTGCCTCCCCCAGCTTAACCCCTAAGGAGTCAGAAATCTTCCTGGGAAAAGAGGACAAGCAGACCCGTCTCTCACAAAAGCCGAAAGATGCTCTGAGCTGAGGGAAGTGAGAAGCTCGGAGCTTTGTCTTACGAGACATTTGAGTTCCTGAGAGGACACCGTTCTTGGGACTAGAAGGGACCAGAGCACATCTTATCATCTGAAAGTCAGCAAAGAAGTTCTGACACTGCTTGAGAGTTCACTCAAGGGCCCAGGAGGAATGAAACCTCAGGTCTAGTGTAAAGGGTCAGTGAGAGGCAAGAATAAGGTTGTTTTCTGCTCAACATAATGGTTGCTCTTGTTTGTCTGCTTCTCTAGCTGGAGTTCCTGAGGGCAGGGAGCCATCCGCATTACTTAGTTCAGGAATCTCAGCCCCTGCACGTGGTTGGAGAGTGGCTGACCCTGCTGGTGCCTTGCAGAATCCCTGAGTACCCTTGGATCCTTTTATAGGGTGGGTATGCTCCCCATC